TCCTGAGGCTGCACAGAGCAGCGGGGACCTAGGACCAGCCCACGAATAATACATAATTTCCTCTTAGGCTTCTGGGTTTGTGATAGAAGGGGCTGCTGTGAAGGCCTCTGATATGCGCTGGAGACATTTTCCCCATTGTCTTAGTGATTAACATTTGGCTCCTTGTTACTTATGCAAATTTCTGATTTCTCCCTAGAAAATGGGTTTTTCTTTTCCACCACATTATCAGGCAGCAAATTTTCTGAACTTTTATGCTCTGGTTCCCTTTTAAACACAGGTTCCATTCCAAACTATCTCTTTGTGAGTGCATATAACTGAATGCTTTAACAGCACCCAAGTCACTTCTTGAATGCTTTGCTGCTTAGAAATTTCTTCTGCCAGATCCCCTAAATTATCTCTCTCAAGTTCAAAGTTCCACAGATCTCTAGGGCTCGGGAAAAATGTTAGCAGTCTCATAGCTAAAATATAGCATGAGTGACCTTTACTTCAGTTCTTAATAAGTTCCTCATCTCCATTTGGGACCACCTCAGCCTGTACTTCATTTCCTTTATTACCATCAGCATTATGGTCAAAACCATTCAACAAGTCTCTAGGAAGTTCCAAATTTTCCCACATCTTCCTGTCTTTTTATAAGACCTCCAAATTGTCCCAACCTCTGTCTGTTACCCAATCCTGCATTTTCAGGTTATCTTCATAGCGACTTCCTATTCTCCAAGTACCAATTCACTTTATTAGTCAATTTTCAAAGATTCTACCTGAGACTGGGTAATTTATAAAGAAAGGAGGTTTAATTAACTCATAGTTCTACATGGCCAGTGAGACCTCAGGAAACTTACAAGCATGGAGGAAGGGGAGGGAGAAGCAAGGTACCTTTTACATGGAGGCAGGAGAGAGAGAGAGCAAGGAAAAGCTGCCACTTATAAATCCATCAGATCTGTGAGAACTCACTCACTATCACAAGAACAGCATGGTGGAAACCACAGCTGGGATCCAACCATCTCCAACCTCCCACCAGGTCCCTCCCTTGACACATGGGGATTACATTTGAGATGAGATTTGGGTGGGGACAGAAAGCCAAATGATTTTAGGGCAGAAATTTTCAAAGCACTCAAGAGGGCCCAGGTGTAGCTGTTCAAATGATAGTCTTTACATGAATCTATATGTTTCAATCCATTTCCATCTCTCTTACTGTTTATTTAGCAAGTATACACAAACAGAAACCTCAGTATGTGGCTAAATTACCAATACATAGAAAAGCAGATGAGGAATGGGTTGCCTATATATTAATAGAAACTTTAGGAATTGGGTAGCATAAGTTGCTAGGTTTATCATCAGCAGCATCTATTTGTTTGGTACTGATTTTGTATTCATTGAGAGCTCAGTAAAAGCCAAATAAAAATAGCTTGCAGTGTTCTTATTTTCATGTATCATATGGTATTGCTTTCTCATAGCAAATGACTTTCTCTAGAAAAAACTAGATCGCTATTTTTTAACAGTACAATCATATTAAACATATTAAGGCTGCCATCTGGAGAATTTGAAATTTGTCAACTAGGTAAAAATGCAGATTTCTTTCTAAAAAGTTGATAAAGAGTCCAAAAATATGCCTCATATATCATTATCAGAGAAACAACATACAGACAGCTTTCCATTTGGATCTTGATAAATATTTGTGTGTCTTGTTTACATTTTTATTTTATGAATTCAAAGCAAGGTAAAATACCACTCCAATAGTCCTGCTCTCCCTCTTTTAGCTGCCTTCCACCCATTTGAGGCAGTGAATTAACAATGTTATTACCATCATGAGCTGTTTCCTGTCATTCAGACACTATATTTAATAGAATTGCAGGTGGAAGTGTGTGGGCTGTTGTCGTCAGGAGAAGAAGGAGATGGCATAGTGACCTGCAGGCTGGTGTCTCCTCTGTCTCCCTTCCCTCCCATCTGCTCTTTCCCTCCTCATGCAAAGGCATCAGCAGAGGTTTCAAGACAGTGTTTCTTTGACTAGAGCAAGGCTGTTATATGGAGATTGTCAATCAAACCTCTCAAACTCTAGGTGACGTCTCTTTTGTAAAATTTAATTTCATAAGGATGGGAGATGAAATGACAGCCTCACTTACTCTGACTGCTAAAGGCCAATCAAGAGCTGAAGTGAAAGCAGAAAGGTTACCGAGATCACTACCATGTACTGGTAGTCACTGTGGCAGTGTCTTAGAAATTGCAACTAGAGGCCGGGTGCAGTGGTTCACAGCTGTAATTACAGCACTTTAGGAGGCCAAGGTGGTTGGATCACCTGAGGTCAGGTGCTTGAGACCAGCCTGGCCAACATGGTGAAACCCTGTCTCTACTAAAATACAAAAATTAGCCTGGTGTGGTGGTAGGTGCCTGTAATCCCAGCTACTCAGAAGGTTGAGGCAGGAGAATCGCTTGAACCTGGGAGTTGGAGATTGCAGTGAGCCAAGGTCACACCATTGCACTATAGCCTGGGTGTCAAGAGTGAAACTATGTCAGAAAGAAATAAATAAAAGAAAGAAAAGAAAGGAAAGGAAAGAAAGAAAGAAAAAGGAAGAAAGAAAGAGGGAAGGAAGGAAGGAAAAGAAAGAAAAGAAGGGAAGAAAGAAATTGCCACTAGAACTACAAGAGACTATGATTTCAGATGGCTGCAGGGACGTTTTAGAATTTTTCCATGAGGCACATTATTTCTAGCATGGTAAATACCATGTCTCCTGTGCCCTTTAAAGTAATCATAGTATTGAATTCAACACAGATATGGAGATGCTGTTCTGAAAAGACATAGTCATAATATTTGTTTTCCTGTTGTCAGAGGTGCCTGTGGCTTTCCATGGGTGAGTGTAAGAAGACATGATATTTTCTATCGGCTTTAGGAGTTCTACCACAGACTGTATTAATGCAGCATAGATAAGTGGTACAGGCACAAAATGGTAAGCTTTGTCAAGGCATCTTAACCATGGAAATTCAAAGCATTTCAAGCACTGCAAAATTTTATATACACTTCCTCTATGTGTACACATATTTTATATACTACTATTACTATTAACAGTATTACTCTAAGCATTGTGTACATATGAACTTATTTAATAAGGTAGGCAATAGTACAATGGAGGAAATATTATTTCCATTTTAAATATGGTAAAACTGAGGCGGAGGGCAAGGTTAATTTGACCAAGGTTATATGGCTGTTAACTGGTAAAGATGATTTGTCTAGCGCCCAAAGTTTGAACCATTATGATATCCCTTCAGAGGTGGTATTAAAATTTATATGCTGCAGATGTAGATACTGCATATGTAGAATAAATGTGTATATACATAAAATATGTATGTTGTAATATATACAAATGTGTGTACATGTATATATTTCATTATATTTTGCTTTCAAGTATAATTTTTCTAGTCCCATGAACTCATCATGTCATTTCTTTTCAGTGGGTTTATCGATAAATATGATACAACACCACAAAACACCAGCTAATAAAAATGTGTAAGTAATAGAGTGGTTTTTCCACTTCACATAGTGCTCAGCATGATATTACATTGCTGCAATGCTGTCAGTCTTCTGTGTGCTAACGACAAACTGTTTCATTCTATTGCCCATGGGGAAAGTTAAGACACTGACTCTGAAGCAACTGATACTACTATTGGGAAAAAAAAAATTGAACACTAAATTTCTTTAAGTGGTCCAGTTTACTCAGGTACTGTCTAAAGCATAGAACTACTTACAAATATGAATATTATACTCATGTCTTGAGTTCAGTATCATGTAGCAGTGGGCTTCCCAGAGGACTTACACATACTTCTGCTCTGGTCAGCTGAATTTCATGCACACCTAGAGTAAGTTATGCTTGCATGTGTTGTCTCTCATCACTAGAATTGTATGTTTACATGATGCTTGTTGTAAACACAAATGCAAGACTAGTTATATCAGTTTTGCTTATTACATGACTTAATTATTACATATAGAATGGACTTACAAGTGGAAACATAGTCTTAAAAAATAAAAACGAAGTTTAAACATACGAAAAAGACTACATAAAGGCATAACATGAGTTTCTAAAAGCTGGAAAAACAATGATTAAGATATAAAAGGATTATCTTCCCAAATGATTTTACAAGTCTTTTAAGTTCTTATTCTGCTGTGAAGAAATCAACATTTGAAACTTCATAGACAATAAATTAAGGATATTTTTTATGCCAAAATAAAAAAGTGAAACTTCAACCAGACCCCATAGACAAATGAATTCTTAATTATATATCAAGAGTATTTTATAGTTTGAATTAAATATATCAGATAAGTATCTATCACTGCTTTAAAAATATTTAATACACAATAATTGAATAAATACATTTAATATTTAATATATATCTGACATATTTTACTGACTACTAGCTCCAATGTCTAAAGAAAAGTTTGAGAAATTTTATCTTTATTGTGATAAGCAACATATTTCTTAAAATTCTGTGCAAAAATTTTAATATATCCACTGTATTATCTGTAGAACCTAATTTGTGATGTGGTTTAGGAAAAAATACATTTCTTTTTTTTTTTTTTTTTTTCTAAGAGACATGATTTTGCCATGTTGGCCATGCTGGTCTTGAACTCCTGAACTCAGGTGATCCGCCCAACTTGGCCTACCAAAGTGCTGGGATAACAGGCATGAGCCACGGTGTCTGGCTAGAAAATACATTCTGACCAACAGCCCATACCTTGGAAGAGACAGAAGCCTGAAGAGTGGTAGCAGTTAGCATACCTGATGTCTTTCATGAAAATGGTGTTAACTTTGTGAAAGTTATCAAGCATTTTCTTGTCATGGATAAATAATTAATCAGGAACCTCTACATCTATTTCCTTGCTTGACAATCTCAGCAGGAATAACTATCAGGTTCTAGAGCTGTATTGTTCTTCAGAGTTCTGACAACCATTATGACCCTTTCAAAATATATCATAAAGACAGTTTGTTGGCAAAGATTCCTTAGATTTGACATTTTATTTTGTCAGAGTTGAAGGTTTCTAAAAGTTAAAATGTCTTTTCTATCTTTATAGACTCTCCTTATCACTAGATTGGAGTTTATCAATTCAAGTTCGCTAATCACAGAAGAAAAAGATGAAGCCGGAGAAGGATGACTAAGTAGTCCTTTCCCTTGTATTTTAAATATATAATCATTAAGTCTAAGAATTGTGTATGTGAATCTATGTATCTACATGTTTACATCTATATCCATGTACTGTGTATATTTATATCCATATCGTTATCTGTATAGACCTGATAACTAAAGCCCATACTTTCCTGTCCAATTTTATATTATCACAATATGCTAAGCAACATTAAAGTAATGTAGGTATGTATGAATGTCTTTAATACCTTGAAGGTGTCTCTACCTCTGTTTCAAATCAGTTACACGTCTTAGGGAGAGGCTGGCCAAGTAGTAAACCGTCATTGGCAAAATGTTCAATTAAATTAGCCCAGGTGTGGTGGGTCATGCCTGCAATCCCAGCACTTTGAGAGGCTGAGGTGGGTGGATCATTTGAGCTCAGGGAAAACTGGTGAAATATCCATCTCTACCAAAACTACAAAGATCAGCCAGGCGTGGTGGTGCATGCTTGTAGTCCCAGCTACTTGGGAGGCTGAGGTGAGAGGATCAGTTGAGCTGAAGAAGTCAAGGCTAACATGAGCCAATATCATGCCACTGCACTACAGTCTGGTGGCAGAGTGATAAATATGGGTTAAATAATGTGATAAGCCAGCCATATCTCAGTCATATACCTAGAGTTTGACCTAACAAATTATGCTTCAAAAATTTATGAGAAAATTTATAGGAAATAATTTGTCAATAAAGATTCTTAGAATGCTTCTTTATATAAAGAATTATCATGAGTATTATGGGTCACAGGTTATGACTTGGATTCAAAAAAATATTGTGTTAAGTTGTACAAAATGTATTTTACTTCAGATATGAACAATCAAGTAGACACAATAAAAATCATAACTAAGTTCGAAATAATGGTATTGCCTCCTACTTTGGCTTTTTACTCTCAGAGTTTTTGTATTGTTTTTTTTTTTGTTTGTTTATTTTTCAGTTCTTCTTGATTGGGTTTATTTGATTTACTGAAAATACATTTCACATTTCACTTTGAAGGAAACAGTCTCAGACGCCAGTCCCCTGGCTGCAGGTGAGCTCCATCAAGTCCATGCGTTTTGCTGGCATGACATCACCCAGGTGTTATACTCTTTTGCCACTTTCCATTCTGACTTATTCCAAGGGGGCTGATTGCCTTGCTGGCCTGGCATAGTCTAAAGCCTCATATGTAATTAGAGCCCTGTAAATGCATAGAGAATGGAGTAGCATCATGGTGAGAATTAGAAAGCAGCCTGGTCAGTAAAGGACAATCTACTAATTACTTGCACTGATGGTTTTTCTGTAGGAAAATATTTCTGGGGTTTTTGATAAAAGGCATATAAAATTGCCTAAACTCCCTTCTGTTATCTTAATACAAAATAAATTGCCAATTTTATGCTATTTGTTTCAGTGTATCCATTTTGAAAATTCTAAGTTTGTATTTGCTTTAAAATTGGTATATTTTACAACAATGGCATGTGCTATATGTCCTGAATTGAACTTATTTAAACAAATTTGGTATACAACAGTATTAAAAATAAAGCATAAGAAAATAATATTTCCATATTCTATTATTTCTAAGAGTAGGATACTCTTTAAATTATAAACTGTTCCAAAGTTTGTTTCCATTGTTGGAGAGAGTCATGGATAGTAATCATGAACCTAATGCACAGACATGATGTAAAGTTTAACAAAAAGAAAGCATGTATCTTTCTATTGATTTAACGTATTTGAATGAAGTCGCATGAAAAAAAGCAAATGCTATAGGTCTCAATGACTTCTGAAAATGAATATGTACATATATAGATCTATTCCTATTTCTATATCTTCATGTTTATATCCATGAAGTTTATATCCATCATGTTTATATCCATACATACAGTATATATACCCACATAATTTGAATGTGGGCCGGTCTGCATAAATGGTAAAGTTTATGTAGTGACTTCTACCAACAAATATATTATAAAAATTATGATATAGGAATTGTAAATGACATATCTAGACTTTAAACATATTAAAGATTTCAATGGGCCGGGCCCAGTGGCTCACGCCTGTAATCCCAGCACTTTGGGAGGCCGAGGTGGGTGGATCACGAGGTCATGAAATCGAGACCATCCTCGCCAACATGGTGAAACCCCGTCTCTACTAAAAATACAAAAAATTAGCTGGGCATGGTGGCGCATGCCTGTAATCCCAGCTACTCAGGAGGCTGAGGCAGAAGAATTGCCTGAACCCAGGAGGTGGAGGTTGTGGTGAGCTGAGATCATGCCATTGCACTCCAGCCTGGGTAACAAGAGCGAAACTCCGTCTCAAAAAAAAAAAAAAAAAAAAAAAAAAAAAAGGTTGCAATACTGTTTTTGTCACCATTTTATAAAGCTGGCACTCACAAGTTCAAACTATTTTTATTAAATATTAGAAAACACTGAATGAGATATAGATTTTAAAATAGCAACTGAAGATTTAAAACTATACTTAGATAGTGATGTAATCAAGAATTTCTTACAAAAATGCAAAAATAATAAGGCTATTGCACCTGCTATTCAGCATCCTTCCCCCACTTGGGGTCCAATCTTTTTTAAGGTTACTGAGTAGTGCTAGTTTCCACATCCTACAACATAATTAAGATTTAGTGATACAGGAGGTTTTATATCTATTTTATAGGGCAATTTCATCAGAAGCAAATGGCTGGTTGAAATAACCAACTATAGATTTTTTTTCTACATTAGACTTATTTTTTATTAGAAATGTAATTTATGATTGCCCTCAAAAATCAAACCAAAATTTAGAACTGCAAGGGTACATGAGTGAATACAGGAGTGTGAGGCATGTTTGTACTAGAATACAGGAGATGAGGTGAGGCATGTGTGTACTAGAATACAGGAGATGAGGTGAAGCATCTGTATACTAGAATACAGGGATGAGGTGAGGCTTCTGTGTGCTAGAATACAGGGATGAGGTGAGGCATCTGTGTACCAGAATTCAGGGATGAGGTGCCGCATCTGTGTACCAGAATACAGGGATGAGGTGAGGCATCTGTGTACTAGAATTCAGGGATGAGGTGAGGCATCTGTGTACCAGAATTCAGGGATGAGGTGCCGCATCTGTGTACCAGAATACAGGGATGAGGTGAGGCATCTGTGTACCAGAATTCAGGGATGAGGTGCCGCATCTGTGTACCAGAATACAGGGATGAGGTGAGGCATCTGTGTACCAGAATTCAGGGATGAGGTGCCGCATCTGTGTACCAGAATACAGGGATGAGGTGAGGCATCTGTGTACCAGAATACAGGGATGAGGTGCCGCATCTGTGTACCAGAATACAGGGATGAGGTGAGGCATCTGTGTACCAGAATTCAGGGATGAGGTGAGGCATCTGTGTACCAGAATTCAGGGATGAGGTGCCGCATCTGTGTACCAGAATACAGGGATGAGGTGAGGCATCTGTGTACCAGAATACAGGGATGAGGTGCCGCATCTGTGTACCAGAATACAGGGATGAGGTGAGGCATCTGTGTACCAGAATACAGGGATGAGGTGAGGCATCTGTGTACTAGAATACAGGGATGAGGTGAGGCATCTGTGTACCAGAATACAGGGATGAGGTGAGGCATCTGTGTACCAGAATACAGGGATGAGGTGAGGCATCTGTGTACCAGAATACAGGGATGAGGTGAGGCATCTGTGTACCAGAATACAGGGATGAGGTGAGGCATCTGTATACTAGAGGCTATGGAACTCATGATCCAAAAGGAGAATTTAAACGGGATGCTATTTAGTAAAATAGATATTGAATGTATAATTTTTAATATGCTTCTTCAATTTTAAATAGCTTCTCATTCCAGCTCCCTCTGCTACACACATAAATTGTGCTTATGAAAATTAAAAAAAAAAACACTTTTACTTCATGAATTATGATGCCTTAAACCCATATGAGCTGCGGAAGTCCAACACATATGAAGATGTAGTTAGGACTTACCCGCAGGGTATTCAATTTCCTTTATCCCAAAGGAAAACAGACTTCTATCTGCTTCTTCATCCAATTCCTGAAAGTTTATCTGATAGGTGCTTCAAAATGGTCATATTCCATAGTTTGCACATCACATCAGAAACTCATCCATATAAATTGCTTGACAAAGCATAGATGGTTCTGAAATTTGAATTTCACTTTTCACCCAGTGATATGCCTATCTGAGGAAGAGTATGACAAAGAACTACATGTCTTAAAAGAACCATGAGGGACATATGACATTTGCTAAGCTGGCAGATGGTGTTGTCACCTGCTGTTTAAATTGAAACAAACAAACACACATTTATAGTAGCATATATGATATGGTTTACAAACAAGTTCTAAGACCTTAGACCTTATCTGTCCTGTTGGTATGATAGAAGACTAGGAATTAACTATGTAATGATTTGTTTTCTTCTTGACAAGAGACATCACTTCATAAAATGTATTAACATGGCCATGTTATGAAACTAAGAGCCTACAGAGTATCTCTTCAGTTGACAGGAGAAATATAGGTAGAGTCAGGCAGATTGAAGCTTGTGTTAGCCAAACAAGGCCAATGAGGAAATGTTATCATTTATAGTCTACACTTTTCTGATGTATAGTCCCAAACCTTGTTTCTTACAGATGTCATGTGGTTGCTTCAGTTATACTCTAAACTTCTGAATTTACAGCAAAAATCTAAAGGGAATGAGAGCTTCGTGACTGTGTGATTTTAATAAGTCTATCAAATTCAAGATCCATTGATAGATATTAGTAACTAATAACCTTGTATTTTACTCATTGTCTTATGACTGCTTGTATGTGTATTTAATATGCAAATGTATGAAATACAGTATCTAGTCATCATAGTTACTTAAACCCTAGAAGCCTTAGTATTTATGAGTATAAACACTGCATCTTCCTCACAGAATGTTTATGATATTCCAATGAGATTTTAATTATAACAAGCAACACTTACTAAATAATTACTCTTTGTTATGAACTTTATATGCTTCATTAATTTAATACTTATAATATTCTTTATACAGCTTTCCCTATTCTTCCCCTTATGCAGATGAGAAAACTGAAGCACCAGGTGGTTAAGGAACTTGCTCAAGGTCATGGAGACCAGAAGGCAAACCCAGACAGGCTGGATCGGGTCCACATTTGCAACCACAGCACGACACTATGTGAGGTCCCATCAATGCTTGTTATTAACTTGTTTTTCCAGTTTTTGGTCTTTTTCTTTTCTAATCCATTCCTCCACATGTCACCAAAATGATCTTTCTAAAATGCAATTCTAGCCTCTCGTTTTTATATAACTTTCCATTTTTTTCCACCAATCTATACATTTAAATTCATTCTCATATATGATAAATCTCTTTAGCTTTTGGCTTAAGCTTTCATCCCACTCACCCAATATGTTCACAAACAAGGTCTAAACTATTTTAAGAATCGACAGCATTTTTACTTTCATACCTCTAGAGCTTTCAATATCTGCTGTGCATTTCCTGTAATAAGTTTCCAACTCTTCTTTATAAGACAAAATTATTTCTACTCTTCAAGCTCTTTATTAGACTTTTTCAGTGAATCCTGCTGTAATTTCAAGAGAAATGAGTGGCCCTTCCCTGTGCTGTCTACCTCTCAGATTAAACTCATTATAGTCACATCTCCACATCACAAATATGAGTTTTCAAGTCTCTCTCCCCCACTGGACTTTGGGATCTTCCAGGATGGCAATGGAGTTTGATGCATCCTTAGATTATGAGTGCATGATATTTGATAAATATTTGAAAAACGATTATTCAAAGTCTATTTGCCCTCCATAAGAAAGTCACATAACTACCATATTAGTAGCCAGTTCAACAGTTTAATGCAATAAACATTTCTGGAACAACTAACACCTGTCAGGCCCTGTGATGGTCACGAATAGGTGTGACTAACACCTGACATGGCCCTCAAAGAGGTAGTACAGTTGCACAGGCAAATTTTCAGTTCATTTTGATATATTCCACTAACATAGGTACTTATTGGGTGCCAGACAAGCAGAGGAGAGACCCTTAACCCAGCCCAAAGAGAAAAAAAGAAAGCATAGATATTAGGCTGTCCCCATTCCAAATTGCCATTTATTTTCAATTTATTTTTTTACTTTTTTTTTTTTTTGAGACGGAATCTCTCTGTCTTTCACCCAGGCTGGAGTGCAGTGGTGTGATCTCGCTCACTGCAACTTCAGCCTCACAAGTTCAAGTGATTCTCCTGACTCAGCCTCCTCAGTAGCTGGGATAACAGGTACACAGCACAATGCCCTGCTGATTTTTGTACTTACAGTATGGATGGGGTTTTGCCATGTTGGCTAGCTAGTCTTGAACTCCTGACCTCAAGTGATCTGTCCACCTTGGCCTCACAAAGTGATGGGTTTACAGGTGTCAGCCACTGCGTCCGGTCTCAAATTGCCATTTAAACCTCAATTATTAATGTGGTAGAATGCTTTTCATGTAAAAGCTGCAGTTAAACTATAGCTCAATGACTACGACAGTCACCTAGGTTGTTACTAAGGTAGATCACTCATGTTCTGAGGGATCCAAACATGTGAAGCAGGTGTAACTAACATTATTGAAGTGATGATTCCTTGATAATTCAAAATGGAAAGTGGGTAGTCGTCCGTAAACTTAGTGATTTGGCAAATTGATCAGTTAAGGCCATGAGTAATGGAGGTCAACATGCTTAGTTTCCTTGCATAGGAATAAAAAGAAAGAGAGTTAAAAAGCAAAATGAAAACAAGGAGAGAAGGAAAGTGAAACAAGACGATATTGTATTACAGCTTATCTGTTTATTTCTCCTATCTGAAATCTTTTTAGATGACAGTTTTGGCCTCAGAGTTTTTCCCAGAGATGTGAACAACCACATTACTGTAGCCAATCCTTTATGCTATTTTCCATCTCTATAAATGTTCTAGAAGTCTAACATTTACAGGTTATATCACAGCTTCTGAAATGAGAATTTCTTGCGGCAGTCCTCTCTAGTTCATCACAGTATTTCTCACAGGGCCAGGAACTACATCTCACACATATTACTCTCAGCACAATTATTGAGTGTTGAGTGGATGTAAGTACAAATGTAAAAGTTAGAATTTCACTTCTCAAAATTCTCAGACTGCAGTGCAAAGGAGAATTCATAGAATTAGAATTCGATCAGTCTCAACTGTATCAAAATTTTCTCTACAACAGCTCATAAATTAGAGACTTCATCTTGTTCTCTTGTTCTCTATTTACAAGATAAAAGGCAGAGTAATTCTCTTAAAATATAATAAAATCATGTCACCCCTCTGCTAAATGTTCTCCAGTGGCTTCCCATCTCAGAATAAAAGGAACACCTGCAAATGGCCCGAGTCTCCTCCTGATTGGTCTCAGCGACCCCTTCTCTCCTGTACCTCCCCTGCAATTCACTACACTAGGTCTCCTTGCTGATTCTTGAACACAGCAGGCATTCTCCTGTCTCAGCCCTTGTACGTATTCTGTCCTGTCTGCCTGAGAACTCTTTTCCCAGATACCAGTGTGGTTTACTCTCACTTCCTTCAGTGATTTACTCAAAAGTCATCGTCTCATTAAGAACTTTCTAGTCACTCTGTCTAAAATTACAATCTCATCTTGACCACACATTGCTAATTTCCCATTCTGCTTTATTATTTCTCATTTGCATTGAACACTATCTAACACGTTATGCATGCTTTTTTGTCTTAATGATTTCTCATCTCCACTAGCATGTAAGCTCCATGAAGACTGAGGTTTTTCTCTATGACTTACAAACATATTCTTAGTTGGTAGAACAGTGCTTAACATTTCATAGGGTGCTCAATATATACTGCTGAAGAACTAAATGAATCTCTATTATGAAAATGGCTTTTTGAACATAACAAAAGTGTTATAAGGAAAGGCACTTACTTGTTGCTATAGTGATTTATCAATGCAGTTCTAACTATGCAATCATTACTAATCATTGAGTTCATTATCTTCAACAAAATCATAATCAATTAGAATCAATCAAGAATATTAATCCTTTGATCTAATTTCTATTTTGTCAGAAAGCAGAAATCCCTTGGCATTAGAGTGTCTTATTCACAGAATGGACCCACAACCCTTTAGTTTTGTGTACAAGCTTGAGGAATGATGAAAAGGTGAAAAAAAAGAGGTGTCCAGGGAGATGACTCCACCTGCAGCACGGGTCTAGATAGCCAAGAACCACCATAATAGTCCTCTAGGTATTAGTAGCCTTCAGAGACAGAAAGTGGACCCACTCTGCCTTGGGTTTGATTTTAAAGGTACAAGTTCTCCTGCTTCTGGTCTGCTGTGGCTCTGTATTTTTCGTGTATTCTTTACCTATTATCAATAACAACAATGACAGCAAGACTAGTAGTCATGTAAGCAACCACTTACTGAGTACTAGCCTATCTACACCAAGTCCTTGGGTGATATTGGTTGGTATCTTATTTTGAAACTGGTCCATAGAACTGATGTTAATAGTCTTTTAAAATAAACATAGAAACTGACTTCCTTGGTTTGAAAGCCTGAAGCTTACACTTGTGTAACCTGAGTTCTTTTTTAAGGAAAGTGACTCTCAGCCCTCCCAGAGAGTATCAAGGGTTTGAAACTCACCAGACCACGACACGCAGACAATGAAATGCCAGGCCTCTCATCCTCATGGTTTCTGTACTCCTCTCTGATTTCCGTTTACTCACATGTAGTTGTTTTCTTTACGCACTACATAAATTCCTAATTTTATTCCAATTTGAGCGAGATCTCCCATCGTCCTTGGCTGCAGCACTTAAATAAAGTCTTCTTCCCTGGCAATACTTATTGTCTCGGTGACTAGCATTCTAGGTAGTAAGCAGCAGGACCTAGATAAAAATCTACGTGTTTCAGTAAGAATTTTAAGGTATTTACTTGTATTTTTTTCCTTCTAATATTTTATTATCCCTTTTCAGTAATCTTCATTGTCTAGGTACTGGGCAATTTCATTCTTGCCTCGGGGAGGTGAAAGGAACGGACAGGATTAGAAAGAGCCAGTGAATTACTTGAAAATTTGTATTAAGAGGCTGTGCCCTTATAAGAAAAGAGGTTCAGGAGGATCAGGTTGCCTTTGTCCTCCCCTACAACTACACTCCACATCACCAAAGATTAGAAAGTTTTCATCCAGGATGCAGGTAGCCACAGGATGAAAGAGGTCTCTATGGGTCTCCAGAGTACAGGAGAACTCATTGCTTCTACACTGTGACCTAAGAAATAAGGTCAAGGAGAAATAAGACTTGACATAAGAAACAAGACAAGGAGAGAAAATGGTTGAGAAGGGCTTTGAAGTAGAGAGTGCCACATAGAGTACGGAATCAACAGAAAGTCAGCAGACTCGAAGCAGACAGACAGGAACGATGGATGCGTCAGTGGTGTACTGAGGTAAAGCCCTCCTCAATAACCAGCTCCATGCAACATCTATACAAATGGGCTCAGGAACCCCAGCTTGAACAAGAGGCTGGGCTTTCATCTGGATTTACAAAGTACTTAATGGAAAATTGAGAAAATTTCAATTATCTAATGATATATATCATTGGAGGAACATCTGCTCTCAAAATGTCTTGGAACTATATAAGTTAATGGAACCTTGACAAGACTAGAGAGAAGAGAAAACTTTCCCTAATGACTAAGGTTAAATTTGCCACCAGTCAAGCAGAATAAAAGTTATAAGAAGAAATTAAGTTGTTCTGTAGAAAGTGAAGAAGATAGCTTCTGCTTACCCGAGATTCATATTTGCTACATACATACTATTTAATTTCCTCTTTGAAACAATCTTATGTGATGAAAACTGTTATTTTCCATATTTTATAGTTTGAGAAAATTAGTGTCCAGAGAGGTTAAGTAACTTGACTGAAGGTTTGACTGGTTCCAAAGTTATGTTCTTAATCTCTGCACTGTATCGCTTCAAGTCCTGTCAGTTTTATATTATTAGATATTACATAGTTTCAAGTTATCGTTTTGCTTTCCACAGTTCTCTGGATATACTAAAATAAGAAGCTAAGAAAATAAATTTTTTAATAATATGTTTACTTTAGTCTTTCGGTACAAGCAGTTGTACCAAAAACGAATGAAGGAAGAAATTAATTAATGAAGATCACCTCCATAATTCAAGCTCTGATCCTTCATTCTTGCTGTCACAGGGCACACTGAAACAACTAAATAATGCAGATATACAAATCTACAGAGTTGTGTGAGCATAGGCTTTGGACCATGCTAGGTAAAATCCCAGCTTTACCACTCAGCAATTGTGTGACTCTGACCAATTTAATTACTCTTTCTACACTTCAGGTGTTTTTCATCTTTAAAAAGAATATAACAATAGCATCTACTTCATATGACTGTTAAATAATTAAATGAATTAATTACAGGCTCACAGCTGTAATCCCAGCATTTTGGGAGGCCGAGGCGGGTGGATCACCTGAGGTCAGGAGTTCAAGATCAGCCTGACCAACATGGTGAAATTCCGTCTCTGCTAAAAATACAAAAAAATTAGCTGAGCTGGGTGGCACATGCCTGTAATCCCAGCTACTCAGGAGGCTGAGGCAGGAGAATCACTTTAACCCCAGAGGCAGAGGTTGCAGTGAGCTGAGATCATGCCACTGCACTCCAGGCTGGGTAACAAGAGTGAAACTTCATCTCAAAAAAGAAAAAAAAAAAGAATAAAATGAATTAATATATGTCCAGTGCGTAGAGGAGTGCTTGCCACAAGAGAGTGCTTTATAAGCATTTGCTAGGTTTTGAAACGGTAATGGAAGTGCAACCCCATCTCTATTTCAAACTGTTATTTCCTTTTATATACTGGAAATTAGAGTAGACCTTTAGAGTAGGTCTTACGTAAAATTGAATTAGGTTATGTTGTTTTTCAAATGGGCTTTCATAAATGGTACAGGAAATTTGAGTTTTCATTTACATAAATAATTCCTAATTTATAATCAAGAAGTCTCAAATTAAATATGTTATACTCCAAGATAAAGTACATTATTCAGAAAATACTGGGTGAATACATTAGTTCTGGGCGAGTTGAAAGATGAATTTCAAACTCTGAGCTCATAAGAGCTGTAGGAAGTTTGAGCAACCTGATTCCTGAAGCAAATCTTAAACCACAGACCTGGAACTTGGCTCTATCAGTTAGAAGTTTCTGTCAGTGGAGCATTTTTAAAGGTGCATGCAAGAGCAACCAAGGCTTGAGGTTAGAGATCCCCAGAGAATGTTTTACCCTTTGGTTAGTCAGTGTAACAGAAATTATAAAAAAGAAAATTAGCTGAAAAATTTTCAGTCATCTGCTTTCATCCATTTTGACAAGAGAATGGGCTTTTTGCATGACCAGTCTGATTAGAGGTGTGAAAATTGGTCCTCTTGTGAAAAATAAAAATAAAAATAAAACAAAAATCAAAACCCAGTCAGTGACACTGCCTTAGAGGAAAGCATCAGAGATCTCAGGCGTAAGATTTTATTTATCTCCCTTACTTCTAAAAGAAGTTATAGCTTTCCCATACGGCTTGTGTATTAGTTGTCATCTAATATTTTACTAAAAACAAGAATGCTAATTGAAACTTACCCCAGGAGGAAGGGCATTGCTGAAGAAAATGATATGAAGATAAATTCTATCCTCTTGACACACATAATAAATTCTATTTGCTAATGTTTATTAGTGCTTACAATATATCAGAAATATCTTTCCTCTAATCACTAATACTATCATATAGGCTCTTAAGTTGTTGCATAGATGAAGAAGCTGAGGTACAGATATTTTAACTAAATTGTCTAAGATCAAACATTAGAGAAAAGACTGTAAACTAAATTCTTCAAATTTCCGAGACTATCTACCCTTAATCATACTAAACTACTAAAATAGAAATGTTGCTAGGACAGAACTATCGGATTTAGAATTGTGTGGTTTTTTTTTCCTGATCTCTATTTCTGGTAATGGGACTGAAGTTACATAACAGCGTTAATGATTGCCAGTTTGCATCTATTTCCTGGTTTACCTTTCTACGGGCTCTGAATGGCAAATGTGGTTGGTTAAATTTTAAACTGATCAGATTGTGCCTTTCATTCTTTAACGAGTTTATGAATTATACATAGATACATAAGGGCTCCCTGAACTATCTCAGTTTTCTCAGAAATATGTGAGAGGAAAGTCACCTTCATTATAAACCAATGTAGTTTTCCTGAGATACATTTATGACCTGTATCTGTGGGTGATGACCTTTTGGATTTTTGCTGCCACAACATTTCTCTACCTTCAAAGTATTTTTGCCCAGATGATGACCTCAGTGCCCAAAGATTAAATGGCTTCCTTTTTGCCAGCTGACTTGTTGAGAATGACTAACGTGTCAAGGCTCCAAGGGGTAATTTCCCCTATAAGAGAGTGATTTAATTGGATGTCTGAAATCAACTTTCTATTCCATATCTATTTGTCCAGTGGAGAGGAGCTTCAAATAAAGGTGATACTGCTCCTTTGACTGCAAAGGTTTTGAAGAGCAGAAAACTATGCAAGGACATGATGCCCCAAAGACACCAGCACAACAGAATATCTGTAACTTGGGTAGAAGAACCAAAAACATAACAGAGACTGTGGAATTTCTAAACCAAAGGACGAGTAAGAGCCTATTTTAAGGTAAGCATCCTATAACTGGCTATGACTGCGGCAATGGTTTCAATTATGGTTTGAGCAAATAGCGATTCATGTGGTTTGTTTGTGCATCAATGAGCAACACAAAGAAGTTTGGACATTCTGATCACTGACTGTGATAGGCTTTTCCTCATTTAGTATTCATAGGTGAGCCTCCCTTTCTCTTATTTTCTGTTTGTAACAAATGTACAAAATGGAAGTTTTCCTTCTATTGCACCATGACTGTTGAATAAAAATGCGGCATTCTCCGCAAAATAGATGGATCACATGGTTATCCAGCAGCTGTGCCTCATTCAAACTACCAGCATGAATTAACATGTCTTTACAGAGTGAGGAGGTAGACAACTACTTTGCTTCTCCCTACACCCCCAGGTAGACACTGTTCAAACAAATGTTTGAAATTAGATAAGTATTTTTTATTTTTAGCAGAATATGAAAAATTCACAAATTCTGGTATATGAGCACATAAACATTTAGTCATTTCCCAAATATACAAGTGTGAAATGGCTGTCATAAATACAAATGTTCAGAGCTGTACACAAGATGGGGCCATCCACATTACAGCAGCATGCCTTCTTGCATTTTATCACAGCACTAAAATATGCAATTTCTTCCCTTGAAAAAGCACTGTTATGGGCATTATAAAGAAATGAGCCACAATGAGGTCTGAGCAATTATCACCCTGGAGGGAAACACACTGATGCAATTGAACAGGAATAGCTGTTTAGACAACCGGACTCTACTAGTTCACTATTGGAGCCAAGGAGCCTAATTCATCACCTGGCCTCAATTTTAGGAGACTTCCATTCAGTGTGAGGACTAAAGCAGTCAGGGAACTTAACGAGAAAGGCTATTAAGCACGATAGAAAGCTGACTATAAATAGAGGTGACTACATTAGAGTAATAATTAGGTGCTCATCAAAAGAGATGAAGCATATGTTACGACATATTATTGTTTTGTAATGCTTTTTTCTGTTGCTGTTGTTAAAGCATTTGACTACCTAGTTTTAACTTTTCTAATATTTTGATATTAGATTTCTAGTATTTCAGTATTTAAGGATGGGAAAACAGTGCTTAGAGGAAACTGCCATCAAATTTTAGTGTCATTTTAATGATGAAGTAATGTAATAAGACTTCTAAGTTTTTCATGTAGGATTTCTTCATATTCAAAATCATTATCTTGGCCTGAATCATACCTATATTTGTCACATCCTTTCATTTTTGGAAAACTCCCATTATTTTAGCTTTTATAATAAAACAGTGAAACAAAGCCCACCACAAGTGGAAAATAAAAATACAAATTGATCTGCACAGCACCACTATACTCTCCAGTGCCTCCCACCACAAAAAGTAAGAAGAAAGCAATTCACCATTTCCTAAAATCCAGTCTCTTCATAAAATGAAGTACAATACTTTGGCAGATGTTGCTCTCATAGGGATGCCCTTTACCATCAGCTACCTAAATATAACAAAACAAGAGTGAGAACTTGCTTGATTGGAAAAAGCACTTCAATTGAAAGTAGAACACTTAGGCCAGGCACAGTGGCTCATGCCTGTAATCCCAGCACTTTGGGAAGCCAAGGTAGGCGGATCATCTGATGTCAGGATTTCCAGACCAGCCAGACCAACATGTTGAAACCCTGCCTCTACTAAAAACACAAAATTAGCCGGGTGTGCTGCTGTATGCCTGTAGTCCCAGCTATTCAGGAGGCTGAGGCAGGAGCGTCACTTGGACGACCTGGGTGGTGGAGGTTGCAGTGAGCCAAGATTGTGCAACTACACTCTGGCCTGGGCGACAGAGTGAGACAGACAGACAGACAGACAGACAGAAAGAAAGAAAAAAAGGAAGGAGAGATGGAGGCAGGGAGGGAGGAACACTGAATAAAACAACCACTGCACATAAACAATGAGTATTACAGAGAAGATGACACAAAAAGAAAAGAATATTTCTGGGTCACTGAGTGAGTTATCAACACATACTAGGAGATAATAGGTATGCTATTGCATTCTTTCAAACAGCATTCATGGTCCTCCATGAAAATTTTATAATGAATGCTATTAGGGTTTAGGGAGGGTTTACTTCTGATTTTCAAGGTAAATAATAATAATAATTGAACACTTACACACACATACCTCACCAGAAGAAAGAGGGTACTATTGGATTACGGAGAACTTAAAGCAGCCTCCAAACTAACAAATTGCCCTAGATTTGCTTTACTTTGGCAGGAAATGATTAGAAAATATAACTCTATCCCTATTTTATTTTTTAATCCCTTAAAATGGAGATAAATAACATCATCACTACTTGCAAAAGACATGATTTCCTAAGCAAACAATTAAAGAGAATCTACAGGAAAGTTTTAAGTTTGGTTGGTGAACTTGCCACATACAAAAGCAAATGTTATTTATATTTGGTAACAACAAACATTTAAAAATGACATTTTGATAAAAGACAGATTTAACATAATACTGAATTTATCAAATAACTAGAAATAAAATTAGTGGAAAATGTGCAAGTCTTCCACATTGAAATTTATAAACATTACTGACAGAAAAGACCAATTAAAATAAATACAGGGATAGACCATGTTCATGAACTTCAAAACGCAATACTGTAAAAATGTCAGTTCTCTACCATGTTATTCTATAAATTCATTGTAAAAGTAATCGAGATACCATTTGATATTTTCTTCTCTTTCTTATCTTAGAAATTCTGAGAAGTATAGAACTACAATTAGGAAGACAAAAGGATATACTTTCATAAATTTTATTTAACTAACATAGTTTTCGTTCTGCATCACACACTGTTCTAAGTGCTTTACAAATGTAAACTCATTTAAACCTTTTAACAACCTCATGAATTAGATATTGTCATTACGTTTAATTTAGAGACAAGGATATTGAGGCACAGAGATTTTATCTAAGTAACTTGCCTAAAATCACAAAGGTAGTTGATTGAACCCAGAAACTGTAATTCTGTTTTTTAACCACGACACTGAAGTGAAGAGGAAAAAGAAGCAACTGGATCTTCTTCTGTTCTACTCTGATAAATTTGGAATGTATTTGAGTTAATGTCTAATTGTCACCAAAGTTTGTCTTATCTATATATTTACAAACACATATATTTATGTTATACATGTTATACATGCACACACATATTTTTAAAGAATAAAAATACCAAGATGAATATAGCCAGCAAGTTAGAAGTCTTCATGTGTGCCTATCCACCCCCTATTTTCATTATCTCATCTTCCTCCTTCAGATCCTGAAATTTGTATTAATGATTCCTTTTCCTTTCTTTGTAGTTTTAGCACCTATGCCTGTACCACTAAAAACATATTTTAAGCTCATTATAGAAATGATTCATAGTTTAGAAATTCTTTTATGATTTATATTTTGCTCAAAAGTATGCTTTTGATATTGGTTGTATGACACATTTAGCTGTAGACTTTTAACCAATTTTCAATGATGCATATGGCATTGATTTGCCATTCTACTATTAATGGATTTCTGGGTAGTTTCTCATTTTTGGTATATATTTGTGTGACTATGTGAAGCATGTATGAATATGTACCCGCACCCATGCTATTGCAAATATTACTGCTATATATATTCTTTTTAAATTTCATTTTTAATTGACAAATAATAATTATACATATTGATGGGGTACATAGTGATGTTTCAATACATATAACGTATAGTGATCAAATCAGGAAAATTAGCATATTCATCATCTAAAACATTTATCATTTATTTGCGTTGGAAATGTTCTTATATATATCTTCTTTGCAGGTTCAAGAATATCTATAGGCTTAATATTTAGAAGTATTATTGTTAGGCAGTATGACATGCAAACCATCAATATTTATTAGGTAATAGCAATCATTTTTCCAAAGGATTCTATCGATTTGAATTCCTATCAGAGGACAGTGGAGGGTCCCTTTGCTCTACATCCTCACTGACACTCCTACACCAGTAGTACATACCAACAATATTGACTAACTTTGTAAGGTTTGCCAATCTGGTGGTTTATACTAAGTTATCAGTGTGGATATAATTATCATTTTCCTCACTTTTAAAGAGTTTTAATACCTATACAGATAATTATTAATAATTTTGATTTCCTCTTTTGTAAAATATCAGCTCACTTCTTTACTCCATTTGTCTACTGAGTGTTAGTATTTTACTTAAGTAGAAGTTGTTTGTGTAATTGGTAAAGTAATATTTTTGTTGTGGTGATTGTTATGTTGTTGAAATAGCTTCTTCCAGGCTTGACATGTCTTTTCTTCTCTTTATAATATTTTGATGTATAAAAATTTTTTTATGCTAAGAATACAGACATGTTACCTTTCTTTTGGACACAATTTACATGTTCTATGTTTTTCCATTCTTTAGTTTCAATCTGTCTCCTTATATTTCAAGTTAAAACAGAATATTACTGGGTTTCGAAAAATCTAATCCAGCAATCCTTTTCTTTTAACTAGAGTGTTTAGTGAATTTATTATTTCTACACACTTTATTTATTACTATTTCCACAAACTTATTTTATGTTTTCTAGTCTCTTCTTTTTTTGTACCTTGTCCTATTTGAAAACAGTAGACGTTCCCCATTCAATTTTTAAATTTAACTTGTTTAGCAAGTTTATCTGTGTTTATTCTTTTAGTGATTTCTTGAGCTGTTTGAGAATGCATATGCTATTTGACATCATTTAAATAATAATCTTTATCTTTCTTCAGATTATATTAAATCCTACCATCTCTTGCCAGCAAGTGTGCCAGGTTTTGCCCATTATTCTACTCTTTTCCTCTTCATGAATTAGGATTATAATTTTTTATTCATTCAGTATTTGCTTGGATAGACTTACATACGTACCCATATCTTTACTAACATTACCTCCTACCTTCCAGTTGCAATCATATTCCTTTTATCTGAAGCACTTCCTTCAGATTTTCCTTTAGTGAATATATTTTATTGATAATTCCCTC